TTTTTTCCTTTTGCTAACCAGACAAGCATATGGTCACCACCTGGCTTACCTTTTAGTTAGCAACAATAAGAGTACACACCTGATTTGTCATTTGTATAGTAAAGTCACCATAGAAAGAATACTTTGGGTAATTTGGGCTTAGTTTCCTGTCAATAAAAGGGAACACCACACAGTGCACCTCTCTAGGTCTGAGTGACTCAGTGCCTGGATAGACTCTTAGAAGGCTCAACTTTTCTTTGTGTTACACTCATTTTCTAAGTGTGTTCACTGTGAAGTTATAAAAACTGTGATATGTTTAGTTTTTAGGTAAAATTGGATTAATGGAATTTTCAGTGAAATTGGAGAAAGTCATGTTTTTCCTTTGGGGCCACCTGGTAACGTCACTAATGAAGGAGGGAGTATGGAGTATATTTATAGTTGCTTTGAACAGACCCACATGGTGCCAGTTTTTACCGACACTGACTGTGCGTGAGCCCCATTTGTGTCTTCTGGGGTGCAGTCTGATCATGTGCTGTTTCTATTACTAGATTCAATGTAGGTATATTTGCTTTCTTGTATTTTTGTTTCCTTTCAGAGACGATCTATAATCAATCTTTATATTCTGTTTTTCTGCATACTTCATTGATAATAATTTTACCAAAACTAACAGGAAATTCTCCTGGAAGCTTGATCTCTAATGACTGCTGAAAGCAAGCGCAGCACATTAAAGGAATTAATTAGAAGGGCGCCCCATGGCGTGTAGGTATGTGAAGGCAGCCGAAACAGAGGACTTTTCTGTTTTTATGAGCTTTTGTCAAATTTAAAGTATGTCTACATTTTGAAACAAAAATTTAAAGGAATTTGTTAGTAGCCGTGCCACTCTATAAAAACTTATTCATAAAATTATTTTTCATGAAACTTGAGGATAACTTTTTGAAGCAAATGACTTAGATATGCCAATAAAAGCACCTACTCATTTTGCCAAAAAAAGTTAAAAATACCACAGATATTTTCTAGCTACACACACACACACATGGTTATATACATATAACATACCAGTCCTGTAATAAGCATTAACTACGGGCAGTTGTCAGAGTTCTTCCAGTAAGTGTGTCACCTTCCTTCAGAAAGGGCTGCTCTGACAGGACCCTGGGTCATGGGTAGTGAATGTGCCTTCTTATTTATTGGCACCTACATGCCAGGTGAGCTAGGGATACAAAACATTTAGATCGGGCCCAGCCTTTAGGTTGCTTTGAAATGCCTTAGAAACATAAACCAAACCAGACAATAATAGGAAAACCAAACAACGTCACAGAGAATGAGAAGTTGTGGAGCCTGAGCGGGCCGACTAGACACCAAGCTTGAGCAGCAACATAAAACTGAAGCAGTAGTTTAAGGGAACTATTTGCAATGCATCCACCCTGCTGGACAGAAGAAAGGCTGGCTCTCACAGAGATCGGTCAGTGGTACATCAGCCCTCGTACGAATATATTATCTGCCCATTACATGGCTATCACTTGATGACTGTCACCTCTTTGTAATCACTGTGCCTGTCCCGTCTCCTGTACAACAGCATTAACATCCGTCATGGTAGAGACAGTACCCACGCCTCTTCATGTTTCCAGCACTTAAAAGAGCAGAAGTCTGTGTTCCCAATTCACTGCTAATGAAGGCAGTGAAAGTGAGCAGACAAGCAGAAGCTGGTTGGCAATAAATTGGTCATCAAATCACAGTTTTTAAAGCTTAGCAGCTAACTTCCTATGAGCCATATTTAAGCTCCTTCAAGAAAGTAGCATCTAAATCCAGGCATAATATCTTGTATGAAGAAGGGACTCATTAGCATATAGCAAGGCTGACCTATTCAGGGTTTTCCCACAATTGCTAATTTATTGATTCCTCCACACAATGATTGTAAGGAACATCCTAGTGCGTTATTTCATAGTGTAATCACGTACCTATGGGCCCTACACTTGAAGCAGGACCAGGCAGTCTGTCTCTCAAGTCTGAGCTCTTGATCACTGTATTTGCCCACCTTCCCTCACCAAAGGAATGCCCACGGTAGTCCCTTTCTGCACCAGGAGACATTATTTCCTTTTGCAGAGCTAGACACTGATGCAGATAAAGGAATGTGTGGTAAGTGTGAGTTTGAGGCTTTGTCTTGAATTGGCACTGATAGACTGAAAGTGAGTCAAATTCTAATAGTGTGAATGTCATAAACTAAGTTGGATAATGGAACAGGATAGTGACTGATAAAATAAGTTTATAGGTCTTAAATGTCAAGAATAGTATCTCAGTTTCACTATTTGACGTTTGGGTATGTGTTCTGTCACTAAATTGTTGATCCTTCTCACATTCTCCCTTGCTGCAATTATTTCTCATTGCAGAATTGGACAGTAATGCTTCCAAGATACAATGTTAGCTTGGGAATGGCCTTGATCTAGCACTGATGTGCTTACAGCAATTCATTTTAAACAGTATAAATCAATCTTGGCCAACATTTTGTTCTTTGAGTTCCTGAATGACCTTGTGTTGTTCTGTTGTCAAATGCTGCCTTGGCTTGTTATGGAAAAATGGTATACACCGTGCACAGCAGAGCAGAACTGTTTGTTTTGTAAATCAAGAATGAACAAAAGAAAGAAGTCTGGAGAGAAGTCAGTGTCATCTGAAATCATAAGCAAAATTTCTTTTTTACTATATTCGAAATGATTATAAAAGTACAATCAGTAACAGTTCTCACATGATTTTCAGTTTCCTTAAGCTCATGTTCCACCCAGTTATATGCACAGGGAAAAATGTGGGTCAAACTTATATTAATAGTCAACAACTTACAAAGAAAATTGTAACCTAGGGCAGGTTCTCTTATTTAAGATTCATCTTTATTTGAAGTAACACATTAGAATCTGCTATTAAGAATGACATATTCATTTGAGTAATGTTTAATACTATATAAAACTGTATGTTTAATACTATATAAAACTGGTAGCAAAATTTGCTTAGTTAAAAAAACAAACAAACAAACAAACAAAAAACACCCAAAGCCTTGTTGTTTGGATTCCTTGAAGGTAGAAAGTTTAAAGGAAAAATAACCTGGGTTCAAGTCAGTTCTGCACTAGAAGAAACAGGGACTGTGTGGAGAAACGGCTGATTGTGAGATTGGTGTGGGAAAGAAAAAGATGGGCCTGAAACACCTTGCGGTGGCAGAAAGTAGAGGTGGTCTTCACAAATGGTAATAATGTGCCAGAAGACACAAGGTCAGCTCAGGAGCTCCCACTCAGTGAACATAGGTTCCCTTGACCACCAAAACAAAAAAACAGAGATTATAATCTATTAGCTAAAATAAGCATAGTGATGTCCAAAACAGTACTAGTAAGTAGGGAAGAAGAAGGAAACCTTCCTTCTGATGAAAATCTCCTTATTGCAGCAGGAAGGATGAAAATGCAAAAACTCTTATGATAAACATCTCAGTAACAACTGATTCAGAGACTCAGGCATTTGGTTATTCACAGCCTATTTACATAGTCACAAGTCTCTTCCGACAATTATTCATGACAAAGGGAGATAGTAACTTTGCAACAGATAAACCTGGCAGGCATGCAGTAACCAGCTGGCTCAGGTTATCTTCATTGCTGTCCGTGCTCTGCAGCCCTAAACCACCAGGGGCTCATCTGCAGCTGGGGTGGGGGTGGGGAGGGGGTTTACTCATCATCGCACTGAAGGGGGATATATGCCATGAAGCTATAGGGTGTCTGGGTAAGAGAGTGGTAGGAAGGCTTAGTGACCGCACTGGGGTTTGCACTAGGTAATATAGGGGTACAGTTAAGGAAGCAGTTCTGGGTTGAATGCTCTCTGGAAGCAGGGTCAGTTCAATCACGGGCATCTTATTTTCTCATGTTATACCTTATTGGAAAGAAATATGGCTGGACTGAAGCTATAGTTGGTCTTAGCCAAGAAGCCACAGGCATACACATTAGCCAGGATGGAGGAGTGTTTGGCCATTTGTGTGATAATGAAGTGCCCATTGATTTGTCTGTTTTCACACATTAATGACCTTGACTAATATTGATGTTCTGGTAAATAAGTTTATGTTCAACAGAAGAACACCAGGGAGTGCTGTGAGTGCCTGCATGTCTCCTAGCAAGGCATCCTCCCTTCTCAGAGGATGGGCTGCCTTCTCACTAGCAATGGGACCAGTCAACACCATGTTGACTGGAAAGGAAAGCGGTATCAGCCTTGCTGCATTCTTGCTAAATGTGCATAACTGGATCAGAAGGAAGAATCAAACACAAATCAGGAAGAGCAGGCCACCTGCAGGCCTCAGTAATGTGAAAGGCAGACTGAAGAAATGTTCTAGATGGTAGGAGAGGAGCCGAACATAAACTGACTGCATCACGTGACTTGCAAAAAATTTTCTTTTGCTACCAAAAACATACAGGGAGAACTGGCAAATTCTGAGTAAGTCCATCGACTTATAGCAATGTTAATACGCTGGCTTTAATATTTATACTACAGTTTGTAAAAGAAGGGCTTTGCTTTCAGGAAACACACCGAAGAATTTAAGGATAAAGGGACATCATCTCTGCAATTCATTCTCACACAGTTCAGGAAAAAATGTGTATACACATGAGTGCTTGGAGGAGGAGGTAGAGGGGTGAGGCAGGGTTTGGAAAATCAGGGTGAAGACTACATGGGAATTCAGTATGTTTTACAACTATTCTAGAACTCTGTAGTTCTGTCAAAATTAAAAGTTAAGAGAAGAAATCCCTTTCTCTTTTCCTTACCAAGTGCCTTTCTGCTTTCAAATAATGATATCCTGACTGAATTCAGCCTTGGTATTCCAATCAATTCATTCTTGTGTAAGATATCTTTGAATATTTATGTTCATATTCCTATCTAAATGTCTTTAATATTTTCTGGCTGTCGAAGGCTGACTATGGGATTTCCTTGGGAGCCAAGCACTTCCCTTAGCAGTCCTTGTCACTGGTAAAATGTTACAATCCTCTGTACTTTTCTTATCCCTGTAGATATGAATTGCCAGGAACATATGCACTGAACTTTGTTTTGAAAAATTCCCTTGGTGGTGGAGGCACTGCCTCACTGAGAAGTGACCCACAGGTGAGCATCCCAGCGATGAATGTCTTCTCGTCTTTTTTCCATGTGTTGCCGACATCAGCTTGTTATCAACAACCTTTAATATGGCCCAGGGAGTCACTGTTATTTTTTGGTAAAGATTTATTTACTTATGCATAGAAGAGCCGGGGTGTAGGCCAGAGATGTGGGAGTGAGAGGATTCCCCAGAGACCGAGTGGGGAGCAGAACAGGCGGACCTACCGAAACACACTGCTGAAGGGAGCAGCAGTGAGGCAGGACCATGTGGGTCAGCTCCCTGGCGGAGGATGGAACTTGTGCTGCAGTGGCTGGTGATCACTTGCTAGCGCTGTGTCTTTAACCCCTGCACCCCCAGGGAGGCTCCAGGGATATATTCTAATACAGTCAAGCGCTGCTGAAGGGCAGCGATATGTTCTGAGAAATGTCACTAGGCGATTTCATCATTGCGCAAACACGCTGTCACTTATTTCACAGCTAGGCTGTGTAGTGTCGCCTATCAGGATCACTGTCACATACAGGATTGTCATTGACCAAAGCATCTTAAGTGCCATATGGCTGTACTAGCAAACTCCCACTTCAGAATAAAACAGAAATTGGCGTGAATACTTTCTGGATAGTTTCCTAAGGAAACATAGTTGTCTTCATTTTGATAAACTTTCCCTTACAGGGTTTGAAGATCATAGGCAAGAGAGAAAATAGTATCTTAACATTTAAAAAAAGAATTCACGGAGGACTTACTCTTGAAGTTAAGAGTGTTTAGTATTCTGTAGGTTAAGGAGAGCCATTATTTGAAGGAAAGGAGGTCATTATCTTTTTGTCACAGTCTAGAACCAGCTGAAAAAGGATAATATGGAGTTCGCCTGAAATAGGCATGGGTTGTCCTAAGAACTAAAATCAGAAATTTTCGCTCAGTCCATGCATCACCTAGCGTCCATGTTTGCCTGTTATTTTGAAACTCTGCTATATTTAGAGCTTCCCAGTGATAACTGACAACTGGTGGTGGCTATGTAATTTTTAATAAATGCATTGTTACAATATTTTGGTTATTGGGGATATCTCTGAAGTTGTCGCGCGTGTGTGTGAATTGCCTTATCACGCGGACACTGCTGTTAATCTTGTTCAACCCCATTATCTTTTGGCAATGATTACTGAGTTTGGCAGAACTACATACATGACTTTCAGTTCTGCTTCTCCATAGTTCTGCTGTCCTTTAAGTCATCATTTAAATCATCTGAAGCTCATGAAGCCATTCTAAGCAATGGTTATTGGATAAAGGAAAGAATCGTGAAGTTAGTAAAATAACTCACATCTTCAGTTGTGCTATTCATCTAGGACAAAAACACGTGGAATCACTGGTGAAGTAAATTTCTTGCTGTAATGTGGTGCACCTGAACTCACAGTAATTCTGCTTGTTTTGTTCAACAGGGTAAAGCACTTGGACAAATGATACTGGACTTCCAGATAAAGAATGTTCCTGATTTAAAGTCATTAATAGGTGAATAAGTGAGCTTTAACATTGGAAAGCTTTACAGCTGCAAAACAGAATCAGTATAAAATAATATAGAAAGTAATCACTATGAGAAAATACTAACTCGATGATTAAATACCAGTATCAGTTTTGTCATTGGAGCATAGAAGAGAATAGACGATTTTTTTTTAGATTTTTCCCCCCAGCCCTTGCCCTTAGCTCTCTGGTTTCATTCATTTCTGTCACTTTGTTAAATGCTTTTATAAGTTAGCGCTCATTTGAATTTTTTAAAGCTGGATAAATCCTGCTGTTTTTATCCTTACAGTAGACCTGAATGCAGAAATAAAGGAGCTGTGAAATAAAGGAGCTAGAGCCAGCTGACAAGGGATAATATAGAATTCAATTGAAATAGGCATGGGTCATCCTAAGAACTAAAGTGAAAGGTTACACTATTTAAAATATTTTAGTAAAATATTTCAAATAACAACCAAAATATTCAAGAAAGATTTCATATTAATATCAAATGTTGTAAATGTGTCTTAATTCCCAAAAAAGTCTTCTTGGGTCACCCACCTTCAAGACTCACAAGTCTTTGTCTATGACCAGACAACAGGTCTGTTGTTTTAAATTGTACCAATTTTTATGGCAGAACATTGGTTTATAAAAATATAACTTTTAATATATATGAACTATATACACCAAAGAGACAACATGAGTCAGATAAGAAAACTAGTAGATATATTCTGTAAGCATTTGAAGAAGATGTTGATTTATTTTTCTGTAAAGCATATAGTTTAAAATCTTGATAAACTGATATTTCTAAATAATATATTTTCTCTCAAGAGTCTCTCTGATATCCAAATCAAGCTGGGCTATCTTGTCCTTATTTAAATGAAGGGTATTTTACTGTTCATTTTCAATGCTATTTAAATACTTAAGTATACAGATTAAATCAGGTTCAAAAAAGCAGTCTATTATTTAGACAATTATAATAATACATTTATAGTGTTCTCACACTGAATTTGGAAAAACAGAAAAAACTGAATATTTTATCTTTCTCAGCTTGAACAATGAGTGATACCATCTCCAAATAGTTTGAATTCAAATTAATTTGAAGGTTTGCTATAAAGAAATTTAACCAAATTTAATTAACTATAAATATTTTCTGTTCCATAGTAAACTGTATAGTAGTGATTTTGTAGTAAATTAATAATAGTGTGATTAGAACTGTATTGTTTGCTCTGAGGAGCCTCATTTTCCCTAATATGACTCCCCAGTCAGCACCTACCTCACCCCTAATTTAGAAATTGACATCACGAAGAAAGGGTTTATTGGTGCTTAATGAGGAGAGAAAAAAAGATCACCTTCCTGAAACTTGTCTGTAAAATTTATTAGAAATAAAAGGCCTTAATAGTAATGGAATTCACATCTCTCATTTTTCATTACAATTTACAGCAAACCACTAGTATCGCTCTTTCAACCTATTATCCATGAATAACTACGTGAATTTCCTGGTCGCTTCAAAATTTGAGGCATTTAGATGATCCATGCCAATTAGTGGGGTTTCTTCAAAATCTATGGTATAAATGACAGTCCCCAGGGCTGCCACTGCCAGTTACTTCTAGAACTACTTATCTGGTTCCCCCTCTCCTGTCTTAGAGAAACAGAAGCCCTTACTCATCATCCCTCATCTCTTCCTCTCTCCCACCCCTGTATTTTGGGCAGGCTCTACACTTTCCTAACTTCTAGAAAGCACTTAACATTGTGCTTTTCTCGGTGCCGTGTGGACCAAAGGCTAGTGGCCGCAGGAATGGTCCCATTGGAGGACACCACAGAAAAACATCAGAACCCTGCACTGCAGATCCCCACTGCTTAGAGTAAGAGAGATCAAAGAATGACAGAGAGGGAAAGTGAAATCATAAAATATGTATGAGAACATGAAATAATTGTGACTGAGAATAAATGTCCTAATTAACTTTGAAAATTAAATTGAAATTACAGGGATTTTGGTTTTAAACTCCTATGTAGAGGAAAACAGTGCCACAGCTTTTTTAATACATAATTAAATAGAACAGAGATTTTGTTTTCATTAATCTGTGTGATCTGATCTCTGTGTCACCCAATTTTTTTTATATAAAGGCTGGGTGGAAATAAAATGACAGTAATTATATATAATCTGATTTAAAGGCAAGTTATTTGATTTAAAGGATAAAAAAGAAGGGAACTATTTGAACATACAGGTGTGTGCC